TTTCAATGTAATTAACAATGGTATAATTGTGTCCAAACATAATTTTTCACAGAAATAAACCAATATTTAACAAGGCAGTTTTACTTAACACTCGGCAATTATTTTTGAATTAAAACAATGATACACACCCACTCACACAGAGAGTTTAGCAAATAATAGGAAATTTAACAATAATCTCACTTAGTGACTAGTGCGTTTCATATAAAAAATAAAAGTAGATATCGATAATTCGTTACCTTCTTTCTTTGTATCTAGCTACTTGGATTCCTGCTTGTTCTAATACATTCTTCTTGTATGATGGCTTCTGTTACCAGTTCTTCATTGATGAACACGTTGCAGATGCAGCGGAAGATGTCTGCAAAACGAGCGACAGTTTATTGGTGTCACTTAATTACCCCCATCAGATCTCTTTCCTCAGTGGCCTTGTAGGAAACAGTAATAAGAAAACGTTCTTTGTCGGATTGAAGTGGGATGATGTAAACGATGTTTGGTTCCGTAGCGATGGATCACCAATGTATTACAGCGACTTCATGTGGGATGATGATGAACCAAAGAACAAGGAAGAAAATAGATGTGGAACTCTAAACCTTGAAACAGACGGAGCTGTAATCAGAGCTGAATCTTGTAACACTGACCACCCTTTCATCTGTCAGAAACGAGGTAAGAACTCACTGTCGGTGTGATCAGGGATGGATCTTGTAACACTGACCACTCTTTCATCTGTCAGAAACGAGGTAAGAACTCACTGTCGGTGTGATCAGGGATGGATCTTGTAACACTGACCACCCTTTCATCTGTAAGAAACGAGGTAAGAACTCACTGTCGGTGTGATCAGGGATGGATCTTGTAACACAAACTACTCTTTCTTCAGTCACAAACGAGGTAAGAAATCACTGTCGGTGTGGTAAGGGATGGATCTTGTAACACTGGCCACCCTTTCTTCAGTCACAAACGAGGTAAGAACTCACTGTCGGTGTGATCAGGGATGGATCTTGTAACACAAACTACTCTTTCTTCAGTCACAAACGAGGTAAGAAATCACTGTCGGTGTGGTAAGGGATGGATCTTGTAACACTGGCCACCCTTTCATCTGTCATAAACGAGGTAAGAACTCACTGTCGGTGTGATCAGGGATGGATCTTGTAACACTGACCACCCTTTCAACTGTCATAAACGAGGTAAGAACTCACTGTTGGTGTGATCAAGGCTGTATCTTGTAACACTGGCCACCCTTTCTTCTGTCAGAAACGAGGTAAGAACTCACTGTCGGTGTGATCAGGGATGGATCTTGTAACACTGACCACCCCTTCATCTGTCAGAAACGAGGTAAGAACTCACTGTCGGTGTGATCAGGG